TGTCACGCGTTTCATAAAGGGGCGTGTCACTTTGCAACTTGCGGCGCGCCCACATTTTATTGAATAGACAATATCTCGATTTGTATACGAGATATCAAAAAGTAGTCAACTGATAAAATATTGCTGATAATATGATCAACATTTTATCAATTGACAAATTGTTGATATCTTTTATATGAACCGAAATAATCGAGCACAAAAGGCTTCTAGTGAGCTCATCGTTGGTTGCGCCGCCATACTACACATTGCACTTTGAGCTCGATTATCTCGGTTCCTCTGGGCAAGATTGAAAAGTAGTCAACTGATAAAATGTTGGTTATACTATGATAAACATTTTATCGTTTGCACCAATCGAAAAAACATAACATTTTACATCATCACAGATAACCAAAAATATAAAATGTCGTAAGGCTTATACTAAATTTTCATTCTGTTTTTCAGCCAACCCCAGCTACACGCATCCAACCACAAAGAAAAGTGGTCCAGGCCAGAAGGTAGAAGGATGATGCTCAAAAGAAAGCTCGTGGACAAAAGAATACTGTCAAGGCCTAAATTGGAAAATGTTTCTTTCGTTGTCGAGTTTTGTTAAGTCTCAAAAATTGAATACAGTCTGTCTTAGTTTAAAGTCGCATAGTCAGTGGTATAAAGCTCCCCGTGGACTATTCAAGGTTCTTATAAGGTAGGTTAAAGTGTTCAACGACTCAACGACTCACGTATTCACAGGTTTCTTCTTGAGACCCATTTGATTCTCATTACACGACTCCCACTTCTCGCACTCAAACTCCTTCCAATGCCTCCTCATAACCAGTTCCGACGAATGGAATCTCAGATTTCCATGACAAAACTTCTGCGTGTCATTCATACATTTCAGATAGGTCTGCAGTACTTGGCAGTACCTCTCTGTGGCTTTTGGCACTAGATTCTCGTAGTCCTTGGTTTTCTGAAACCATGCGGCGCACTCCTCGACACGACACGGATTGATGGGTTCTGGAAAAGAGTTTTGGGGTTTTCATTAGTTTTTGAATAATTAGGTTAGATGTAAAATTTTCTGCTGAATCGATGGGTGTAAAATTCAAAGCTGTAACTGTAATATGAAGCAAGTTATGCCAATTTTCTAGAAGATGCAACTGAAAAACACTCATAAGTGACTTCATAATTAAGCTACAGTTTTGATTTTTATACCAATCGATTTCTCATAAAATTTTGCATTTAATGGTTTAATGAAAAAAAAGAGTTTCAAGACAATAGGGGTTGAACCCGCGACCCTCGGATTCAAAACGGAGAGCGCTAGCCAGTAAGCCACGCGCGCAACACCATAACGCTGTAGTGGAGGACAGAAAAGAATGAGGGTGCGGTGGGAAAGAGCTATTTGGAGATTTAGTGTCTTGTTTAAAAAAAAAGATTTCTTCCATGGAAACCATGCATCAGAAAAGTGCTCATAAGTCTCTTCGTCGTTCAGCTGGAGCTTTTATTTTTATATCAATCGATTCCTCATAAAATTTCGCATCTGATGGTGCTAACGACTCACCAAGAAACAACAAAATAACATAGAGAAGAAGATAGACTATCGACATACTCCGTCGAGGAGCCTTCTCATCTCACGGTTCCTCTTTTTTGTGACCTGGAAATTTTTTTTTGAATTTTTGGGAATTCAAAATCGTATAGTGAATGAAAGAAATTTTTTATATAAAACAAAGGAAAAAGCTGGGTAGAAGAAGGAAGATTTATGATTTTGGAAGGGAGGAAGGGGTCAAAATAAGAAAAATGAGGTTTCTCTTGAGGCGGTGGGTAATGAAAAAGATTTTTTGAGAAGTTAAAAAATTGGCCTAATTTTTTTTGGATCGAGATAAGCGCACATAAGAAAAGTGACACCGATTTGATGTGTCATTGATTGATGATAGCCGGAAATTAGAGGGGGTTATAATGAAGATTAATAGAGGGGAGAGGGGAGTTAAGGATTACTGTAGATTACGGTAATCCGGAAATAAGGATATTTTTTTAAAATCCAACATTTTGAAAAGTCCAAAATTCCGGACTTGCTCTTATTGAAGCACACTCAAACCATCAACTTTGAGCTCAATTATCTCGATTCTTGGGAAAGATATAAAAAATACGTCAACTGATAAAATTTTAGGGATATTATGATAAGCAGTTTATCAGTTGACAAATTTTTGATATCTTTCACAGGAATCGAGGTAATTGAGCTCTAAGATGACGGCTTCGGTGGGACTCTATTAGAGGAAATACGGTACTTTCCAAAATCCAAAACTATGAAAATTCATGAAATAGCTAATTTTGTTTTTTTTTTTTGTTTTTTGGACCCATTTTTCGCTATCTCATGATTTCCAAAGTTTTCGATTAAGCTAGATATTTTCAATTTTTACAAAAAATTAGTTGTTTCTGTGTCAGAAAAGTCTTAAATTGTTAAATTTTAGGTTGTTCTCAAAAATCCAAAACTATGAAAATTTATTTAAAAAAAAACTAATTTTGCCTTTACAGTTTTTAAACATTTGTTTAAATCAAATTAAATTATTTTATGATTTTTCAAAGTTTTTGGCTTTTTTTTAAATATTTTCAATTTCCACAAAAATCAGTTTTTCTGTGCCAGAAAAGTCTTAAATGGTTAATTTTGAGTCTAATTATCTCGGTTCCTGTAAAAGATATCAAAAAGTTATCAACTGATAAACTGATTATCAAATTATCTACATATTTTTTTCAGTTGACAAATTTTCAATATCTTTTGTGGGAACTGAGATAATTGAGCTCAAAGTGCGTGATGAGCTACGCGGTTGGTTGTCCCACCACTACACTTGCACTTTGAGCTCAATTATCTAGATTTCCGTAGAAGGTATAAAAAATTATCAACTGATAAAATGTTCTTCATATTAAAATAAACATTTTTTTAGTTGACCACTTTTTGATACCTCCTACAGAAAATGAAAAAAAAAACTGAGGCAAAGTTTGGATCCTTCAATTACAGATTTCTCTCTACATATGAAATTTGACCTTAATCATCTCAAATTCTGTAAAAGGTATCAAAAATTAGTCAACGGATAAAATATTGGTGATATTATGATAAACAATTTATTAGTTGACAACTTTTTGAAAGCTTTCACAGGAAACGAGATAACTTGAGTCAAAGTTGGGACCCTTTCCTCCACAAAAGGGGCTTTATTCAAAATCAAAAAAATCAAAAATGATCACCCCATTTCTTATCAAATTGTGCAAAAAACAAAAAAATAAGTATATATTTTTAAAATCAATAAACACACAGCAAAAGCGTACAGAGTCATACGTATTGTGCATTTCTACAGAAATGAGAGGGAAAAAGAAGAAGAAGAAGAAAGAGTAAATTGATAAAAAGAAGAGAAACGGGAAGAAAACGAGCATTTATGTTTGCTCACTTCCTGTGCATTTTCTGTTACTTCCGAGAGAAAATAACGGGATGTTTTAAGGGATTTTTGAAACTTGAAAACAGAAAATAATCTTGATCTGAAACTATAAAAACGATATTGTTGGAAGAAAGAGCTCAAGGAGTTAAGCAAGCTGATGGGATTATACTTAGGGGATCGTGTAGCTCAGCTGAGCTACACGGCTGCGAACAGGACAACAAGAAAAAACCTTCTGAATTGGCAAAACAATCGATACAAGAAATTTTGATGATCAAACTTCCTGATCATCAGCAATGTTCGCCAAAATAGGGATGGGCTTGACTGGTTTCGAACATTTGCGATTGGTTAGGAAAAGGGACGGTAAGTTTGTGTGTTAAGGAATTCTAGTTGTCCTGAATTTTGATATTTGAAGCTTTGAGGAAGATTTAAAAATGCAAAAAAACCAATAGAAAAGTTGAAGCTTTAAGAATACCGTACTTGGTCTAAACTATCTACAATGCGTCAACTTTGAGCCTTTATATCTCACTTCTGGTAAAAGATATCAAAAAGTAGTCAACTAACAAATTTTTTATCATTTTATCAGCAATGTTTTATTAGTTGACTACTTTTTGAAATCTTTTATAAAAAACGAGATATATAAACTCAAAGTTGGCAATGTGGAGAAACTTCAAGAGGCCGCCGCACTGCTTCCAGCGGAGCTATGCGGTGTATTTCATATTTAAAAATATAACATAAAAAAGAGACTAAAATCTGATTTGTTTAAAATTTCCTAAAACACACTAAAAATCTAGTGCTTCATTTTTGCAGATGAGTCTTGAAGAGATATGCCTAGCTCACATCAGTTGGTTCTGCGTCTTCAGCACTTCCACGTGGCATATCTCCTCTGGGTCCAATTATATGGAAAAGATGTCAACTACAAAAATAAAGCTCTAATCATGTTTTATAGAAACTAAAAATTTCAGAAAAATCAGCCAAATTTGAGTAATTATTTTTAAAGATTGAAGTGGGCGACCTCTAAAAGAATCAATGGCGGCTTAAGTGGACAGGACCTAAAAAAGAGTGGTTCAAACTTTTTGGATTATTCTGAAATCTTCAGAGTATACTATTCAAATTTAGAGCTTCATTTTTCTAGTTGACCACTTTTTCGAAAAATGAGGTCCTGAGAAGATATGCCACGTGGAAGCGCATTCATCTTTTGGCGCCGACCGTCGCGCTAGTCAAGGCAGTACCTTGAGAGTAGGCCGCTTCCATGTGGCATATCTCCTCTGGGTCGAATTTTACAAAAAAGTTGTCAACTACAAAAATGAAGCTCTAGTCAAGTTTTATACCCACAGAAATTCTCAGATCAATACAACCAAGTATAATGGCTTTTTCATGACTTTTAAAATTTGTATTGAAAATATGGAAACTCTAGTTAGATACTGTTGGTTCTAGATATTCTGGATTCCTTGGAGCATTCTAACTAGCAAGGTAGGCGCTAGTTGAAGCTTGCTATAAAAACCATTGTAAAAACTAGGCTTAGCGACTCATAGCGACCGCATAGCTCAGCCAGAAGCAGTGGGCCGGTTCTAACATGTTGAAGATGATCCCAATTTTGACCTAATTTATCTCGGTTCCTGTGAAAGATATCAAAAAGTTGTCAACTGACAAAATGTTTTTGATATCATGTTAAACATTTTGTTGGTTGACCATTTTTTGATACCTCTTACAGTAACCGAGATAAATGGGATTAAAGTTGAAGGTTAGGGTTAAGCCTAACCTTACACTGTAAGGCTTACAGTAACCCCTGTGAAAAGAACTACAAAATCGCTATGAAGCCAACAAATGAATAAGCGAAAAGACCATTAACACGAAACACAAAACAATAAATCAGCTTTTTCTTCTTTTTCATGTCCTTATCACCTAGCCGTGGGCCGTCTATCAAAAGACACAATTGTTGCAACAAATTAATGACGCATTCCTCGCTTTTCCTTTCTTTTCTCCTGCCTTTATTGTCTACCTTCCCAAAACCCCAATCATCAGAAGACTCCTCCTCTGTGTCTACCCCCCGAAATTCTTGGACCCCCCTTTCTCTAGCCACCCTCTTCCTCTTCTACACTATCTCGTTTGAGTTGACGCATCTCAAGTGCGCCCTTGGCGCGTTATTGGATAGATGCTATTCAATAAAAGACAAGGATATAAGATGTACCAACCTCATTATGGGAATTTAATCGATTTTTCTTAATTTTTTGTACCTAAAATATATTTTTTACCCTAATATAACTGTATTTAATTTAAAAATGAACTCTAATAATGCCTTGGATCTCAAATCAAAGCGAATCGTGTACCAAATGAGTCTAGAGCTGGAGCAAACCGATGTCAATCATGATTTTCATAATGCGTAAGTATTTTAAAGTGGCCTAGAAAACCTAAACCTCGGCCATTACAGTCTTCTCTCACTCCAAATGCCAGATCTCGACAAAAACTCCGGTTTCGATGGTTTCCTGAAACTCCAAGAAGACATCAAAGAATCTCTCAGGAATTTTATGCGATTCGGGCAAAAGTCCGATTTATTATCCCAGCTAAACGGTCAACAACTCAAATGTGTCAGCCAGATGTGTAAGTTTTAAGGGTTCAATTTGAAAACTTTTTGTTATTTTTAGTGAAATCTCGATCTACGACATCTTCTAGTGGAAAAACATCGAATGGCGAATATTCTGGCGAGCGAATCAGGGCGAAAAGTGTGAAAGCCGTTGAAGAAGACATTCCCCCAGTACCATTTGGAATACCACCGTTAGAAGTCAATGGTTTGTATCGGGACGATGGTTTGGATGAGGAGGAGCACTATAGCGATATGGATTGGTTAGTAAAAAAGAGGCAAAATAGATTTGAGAGGGGGAGGAGTCGAACTTTGGTGTTGAGATTGGTAGACAAGTTTCTTACCAGTTGCGCTATACCGGCGCGCGCGGCTACGCCCAATGTTTTGATATAAGAAAAACCCGAACGACAGTGGTGGCTGGCTCCCACTGTCCTCATTGTGGCGCAATGGTAGCAGCTCTGTCTTTCAATCTGGAACTTGTTGGTTCGACTCCCACCACCTCTCAATCTGTTTTTGCTTTCTTTTTTAATCAATTAAGATTTAATTCAGGCTCAACAGTCAACGTTCAAGCAGATTCCCAGAGGAACCCATACCGAAATCTGCACCTGTCAAGTCCAAAACTCCAGAAGTTCCGAAATCTGTGAAATTTTCGGAACCAGTCAAAAAAATAGCTTCAAGAGCGAGACCGATTCAGAAATCTGATGCTCAGATTCAAACTGATCAGTTGGTGTTGAAGAAGGATGAGCAAGAAGAGAATTTGAAGAAAACTAGTGGGAGGAGTGAGAAAATTGTAAGTTTTTAATTTGAGCCTAAATAACTCGGTTCCTGTGAAAGATATCAAGAAGTAGTAAACTGCCAAAATATTGGAAATTTTATAACAAACATTTTGTTAGTTAACCACTTTTTGATATCTCTTGTAAAAACTGAGATAATAAAGCTCAACGTAAGCTACTTGGTCGGCGTCACCACTATGCTTGCACTTTAAGCTCTACTATCTAGATTTCTGTAAGAGATTTCAAAAAATAGTTAACTGATGAAATATAGGAAAATTCAAGGAAAACATTTTGTTTGTTGAACACTTTTTGATATCCTACGAAATGAGATATATGGGCTCTGAATTTATTTTATATCTAAAAAATTCAAGACCGCTGAAACTGGAACCAACTGTCGATTGCTGATCACTCCAAGAGTAGAAGAGGATTTTTCTGGTAAATCCTCTCCACTTTTATCACCAATCAGTACAGTACCCTCGGATATTAGTGAAGGAGAAGTCTTGGGACCGGTGAGCAATGTGATTGTGGTCCGAACCGATGGATCGATTGTGCCAACGCCGCGTGTCTTGGAGGATGATGAAGAAAATATTCTAATTGCTAAATCGGTTAGCCCGTTTGGTGTGGCTGAAATTGATATGTCTATTTCATCGGCTCACAGTCATTAATAAAATATTTTTTTTGAAGATTTTTTTGCTAATTTTTTTGGTTGAATCGGATTCTAATCCACTATTCGATATCTTTTAAGCAAATTACATAACTTTTTCTGAAGATTAATTTTCAGCCTGGCCCGGGATTTCAGCCTAACACACATGAAAAATGAGCGGTAGCTGCGGTATAACAGAGTGAGTTGGTTTTGTATTCGCGCTCCCTTTTGGTCGCCCACGGCGGCCTCCTTCCGCTAGTGCCCCCATGGCGCAGTGGTTTTGCTCTAGACCTTCAATTCGACCCTTGTTGGTTCGACTCCTCGCATCCTTGAAACCTTTTTTGCTTTGTTTTTATCAACTTTAATGACAAAACATTTGCAGCCCGGACACACCTCCGCCTAAAATCTCCTACAAAAATCGGAGAGCCGGGAAAGGCGAGGCCTATGAGCCCACATCTCACGAGCATGTCGCAAATACAGTATCCCATGCAGTCGGTATAGGACCATCCATATTCATTTTCTACTTTTTTATGTGTGAATATGCCCATCGAGAACTACAGCATATCCTTATGGTGATTTATGGTGAGTGCTTTTTTGTGACTTTTAAAAAAACAGGCTGAATCTTGTTTTCAGAATCTGAAATTTGGTAATTATAATAAACAAAACTAGAGCTTCATTTTTATAGTTAACAACTTTTTTGTAGCTTTTCTCCTTGAAAAGATATGCCACGTGGAAGCCCTAGTACCTCGGGGCGCCGCCACCACAAGTGGATAGGGCGATTTGGGAAGGTGAGCCTCTTCCTCGCGGTATAACTCCTCTGGGTCAAATTTCACAAAAAAGTTGTCAACTACAAAAATAAAGCCCTATTTAAGTTTGATATTCTGACAAAATTTCAAAGATTTTGAAATAGTTTGAAATACTTTTGTAGGGCGCTGAAAATATGCATCATTAAAACTAAATTTTTTCCAGGAACATTCACAACACTATTATTCACCACCAGCACTGTTTATCATTTTTGCGAGTTTCTGTTCCGACAACAGAATAAGTAAGACATCTGGACAAACCCACCACACATATTGAAACTTTTATAGGCATCGAAAACTACGATACTATCTTCATATTTGTGATCGTGCAGCTATCTATTTGTTCATCGCTGCTTCATATACTCCTTGGTTAACTTTAAGGTAACAGGCATCTGGGCAAACCGACAAACATACACTTGAATTTCAGACACTGCGGTTTACCAGGTCTCAATTTAAAATGGATGATATGGGTGTTCGCGCTGCTCGGCATACTGTACCAGTACAACTTTCACGAAAGATACAAAACGCTGGAAACCATTTTATACATTTTCATCGCCGCCGGACCATCCGTTGCAATTTTCACAATGAACGATCGAACGGGTCTCGAGTGGATGATGATCGGAGGAATGATGTACGCAGTTGGTGTTGTCTTCTTCAAGCTAGATGGGATTCTGGCGTTCGCTCATGCGATATGGCACGTCTTTGTAATTCTAGGCGCATCGTGTCATACCTATGCGGTCTATGCGTTCTTGTTGGGTCCGGATAAGAATAATCCCGTGCCGGACGTTTGAATTTTTTTTTGAAATTTAGTTATTTTGTTGCTTTTAGGTGTTTTTGCTTCAAGGTGTTCAGGTATTCTCTAGTTTTTACGTGTGCCATGTGCTTGAGCTTTTGTTAAAGTCGGTCAAAGTTTCAGAACTAATCTGAAACTTTGAGAGTACATAAAAATTGACTGGAGCTTCATTTTTGCAGTTGACAACTTTTTTGTAAAACCAGGTCCTGATGAGATATGCCACGTGGAAGTCGCTGACTCTGTGGCTCGCCAGACAGGTCTCCGCCTCTCAAAGTGTCATATCTTTTTTAGGTCAAATTTTAGCAAAAACTTGTCAACTACAAAAATAAAGATCTAGTATTGTTTAGTACACTCTAAAAATTTCAGACCAATCAGATTAGTTATAACCTTTTTTGTAAGTCTTAAAAGTCGTCATGCCATATTTTTTTAAATAGAAGTCTTTGAGCTCAATTATCTCGATCCTTGTGAAAGATATCAAAAAGTTGTCAACTGATAAATTGTTTATCATATTATCACTTACACTTTATCAGTTGACAAGTTTTTGATATCTCTAATTGGAACCGAGATAATTGAGCTCCAAGTTGAAGGTTCGGGTGTGCTTCTATTAAAGGAAATACGGTATATTTTCTGCTTGAAGCTTGAGCACAACTAACTTCTGTATTATAGGTCTCTAACGCTAAGATGTTGCCATATAAAATTTGAAAGTATAAAACAATAAATCAAGTCCAAATTCTTCATTAATCTATTATCACTTGTTGTTATTGTTATCATCGTCACAGGTGGTTCCACGCTTTTCCGGATGAGCCAACTGCTTACGGAGCACATGAGCCGTCTCTTCCTCGTACTCACGAATCGATTCCATTGACATATTGAACCATTCATCCAGAAGCACATAGGCATCACGATGCATCAGACCAAAGACACGTGGATACTGCTTATGAATTGTTTTTTCGACCATACGCTGGAGACCAGTCCATTTGAAATGACAGGAGACAAGCTTATAGGCGCACATGATCTGAAATTTAGCTTGAAAAAAAAAAGAAAAAAGGTTTGGCACCAACGGGGGGGGGTTGAACCTGCGACCCTCGGATTCAAAATGGAGAGCGCTAGCCAGTAAGCCACGCGTGCTACATTGAGGCATGGTGGTGGAGGGCGGATAAGAATGAGGGCGCGGTGGGGAGTTGAAAGGGGGTGGGAGGTGTTAGAAAATGAACAAAAAGAGCAAGAAACTCACCGGATCATGTTCATCAATCCAGTCCTCATCTAGTGGTCCTCGTTCCACACATTCTGGCTCAAAAATGCTCGCATCCTTTTCCTTTTTATAGTTTTTGGCTCCAAAAATGTCATTATCCGCGATATCGACCCAGACAATTTCTCGCTTTTCCGGACCATCCAACGCATTTTCAGTACTTCCGTTGTCTGGTAAATGGAGAGTTTCAATGACTTGATGGAAGTTCTCTTTCATGTATCCCGGGTTCTAAAATACGAAATTTATCATTAGAGCGCACTTGCTAAACTTATTACACTATTATTGTAAGACTTACCGTAAGCACCGTTTTACAGTATGGATATGCGTTCCAGCTCTCCTCGTGAATCTCGAAAGCCTCTGGCGGCAGAAGCTTCTGGAGCACCCATGGAGCTTTCGAACGGAGGCGGTAGATTTTTTTGGTATATGTGCCGGTGACAGTCTGTCCGGGACGCAAATCATCACTAGTGAATTCTCGTTGCTCAAGGAATTCGGCTCCCTCACCACCACCCGTTTCATTACGACTGCAAGCGGAAACTGCGTACAGTAGGCCACGCTCGAACTCGTCCACAGAGAGCGGCAATGGGATACGGTATTCCTGGAAGAAAATATGTAATTTTTGAACTTGAAACAAAGAAAATAGCCTTCTTTTCCCTCTCTCTACTAGAAAAAAATCAACTAAAAATAAAAAAAAACTATTTCAATCCCTGCGGGTTCGAACCATGGTGCTGGGATTGACGGGCAAAAACTCGTCTACTGAGCCACCGGGCACGTTAATATCTGTGAGGCATACTCTGTACACAAGCGTGCGGGGGGTCGGCGTCGTCACTTGGCGCCAAGTTCAAAATTCAAAAAAAATCCAAAAATCCAAAAACTCAAGTGCTCACCTTTATAATCATAATTACGTTCGGAAAATTAATTTGATAGCAGGTCTGACTTCTTTTTGGATGCCTTTTTAGGAGCCAATGATGACTGCCAGCTAACAGGGACGTGGATCAGGTGGCTGGAAAGGCAGCAAATTTGAATTTCAATTTTTCAGAAGAGGAGGCGAACGTGGCAAAGTTTTCTGGGTAAGAAGAAGAGGAGAACATTCGTTTTGAAATCGTTTTTTTTTCGAAGAGAGAGAGAGGATAAAACTGGATCTTCTAGAATAAAAAAAGAAGAATAAGAGGGAAAAATAATTGGCATTGGCCGAGGGAGAAGAAAACGCGATAGGAGTAGATAAAACGAGGGAAATCGGAGGGGAAATGAGGAATTCGAAGGACACATGGACATCTGGACACGATGACGTGGCATGGAGACGAAGGAATACTGTAGAATTTTGGATGAGCGATGGGAGTGGAAGAAGAAGCGTTTGGGTGGACAAGGATCGACTCTTTGTGCTCGGAATGGTTTGTTTTTTTTGTTTGAAAGTGTCAGTTTTTATGAAAGTCGGTGGCGGGAGATTTGAAATTCAAATGTTGAATTGCGAGATGTTGATGCAAGCGCGCCCAATTGAGAAGCAAGGAATTCAATTTTCAAAGCGTTGCAAAATTACTTCAACTTTTGTCAATGTTCTTGAAAATTCTTGAGTATACTAAACAAAACAAGAGCTTCATTTTCGTAGTTGACAACTTTCTTGTAGAAATTGATCTAAAAAAGATATGGCGCCTGGAAGAAGCCCACCTTCCTTGCACGCTGGTCGCACAAGCGGTGGAGGTACCCCAACTTCCACGTGACATATCTCCTCAGGACCTAATTTTATAGAAAAGTTGTTAACTACGAAATCAAAGCTGAGGAATAGGGCTATAATTTTGTAGTTGACACCTTTTTTGTAAAATTTGATCTGGAGAATATATGCTGTGTGGAAGTATTCGTACTTGGACGGTTGGGGATAAATTTCGAAAAATTTAAGGAATTCCCAATTTTTGAGGTTCAAACTTTCAAGTATACAATACTTGAACTCAAAAATTATCTTCTAAGAATTGAAACAGCGCAAAAATCGCAATTTCCGTTCGCCTGCTTCTCTCTCCTTCTCAATTCGAACGAAAAATTCTCTTTTCATCGAAAACCGGAAAACCATTGCGTCAAATCGCGGTTACGTCATTAGAAGTGACCGAAAAACACGAAATTTGCATATAAAAGGAAAACAAAAGAGTTTTGACCCCATGCGGAATTGAACCCACGACCTACTGCGCCAAAAGCAGGGATGGTAGCCAGTAGGCCACGCGCGCAATTGCCTAGAACGGTGGTGGAGGGTGTACACAAGCCTGCGCTAATTTCAGAAGACCTATCCAGAAGTCGTGGATCTCACCCAAATCAGTCCCTTGGCTAGTCAAGTCCTCGAACAACTTCTCACCGGCCATCGTCGCTATTTCGTTCTTGTCTCCATGAATCAATGCGCTGAAATTTGCCACGTGGCACAAGAGCTGAAATTTCAGAACTTGCTGAAACTAGTGGAAAAGGATTTAGTTGGTCAGAGATTTGGGTCTATGGAGCAAGCAGTGGATTCTCTAACAGTTGCTATACAATTCGGAATGGCGGATGCTGTGGAGAAGTTGGTGGATGAGATCATTTTTGGATTTTCGCTGGATGAGCAATTTTTGATCTACTGTAAGAATGGAATGGCTGTTGACATGGTTTTAAACAGGAAAGCAGAGTTGGAGGGGTACGGTGGAGAAAATTCGGGACCTCGAGATGAGCAATATTTGGATCCGGGACTTTATGAGGATCTGGGGCCACAGGAGAATCCTCGGAATCAGAATCAGAATCAGATAGCAATTCCACAAGCGGCTCAAAATTCTCATATGCACAAGATTCTTTTGAATGCTGCCAAGGAGAGGTGAGAATCTGGATTTTGAAATGAAAAAAAAATTTAACCAATTTTTTAGACAAAATTGATGCTACTTTGAGCTCGCTTTTCTCGGTTCCAATAGAATATATCAAAAATTGATCAACTGATAAAATGTTTGTGATATTATAATAAACATTTTATCAGTTGACAACTTTTTGATATCTTTCTTAAAAAGCGAGATAATTGAGCTCAAAGTGAGCGCTGTTAGTAAGCTACGGGGGTGGCGCCGTTGGTTTCGCCACCACTATACTTGACCTTTGACCTCAATTATCTTGATTCCTATAAGAGATATTGAAAATTGGTCAACTGATAAAATATTACTGATATTATGAGGGGCATTTTATCAGTTGACAACTTTTTGATATCTCTTTTAGGAATCGATTTAATTGAGTTCAAAGTTAATGCGTATTTTTTTCAGATTCCGCACATTCTTGAATCGTCCCATCAACTCTGTCAAAAATGGGATTGCGTGGGTCTCCGCACAGAATCAGAGACTCATCAGAAGACCAAATGTGGGACCACCAAGAAACAGAGAATTCCAGAACTTCCAGCATTTTTAAAGAACTCGCGAATCGAAACTTGAACTTGATGAATACATATTTTTGGTTGATTTTTAGCTAGTGTTTTTTTATTACGAATATTCTGGATTCAGGATTCTTCTTTTTCAAAAGCTCACAGCTACAGTATTCCATATAGCTGAAGTTTCCCTATCGCTATTCCCCTCCATTCCCATGCTCCACCCCCACATGCAAACATTTTTGACTATAATTCGATTCACGATTTAATGTCAAAAATTGAGGTACAAGCGAACGGCGTGCCGACGAAGAATCCCACCTCGTGGGGGAGGGGTCTGCGCGAACACCGTCACGCCAAATTGCACAGTTTGAGGAGAAATAGTGTGGGGGGACAGGAGACCATGTTTTCCTGCTGTCCACTCTTGTTGTTTTCTTCTTTTCCGAACGCCATCTGAGGAGAGAGAGAGAGAGAGAGGGTTAGAGAAAGAGAGGGGAGGGGAAAGAAAGTCTGCGTCTCTTTGTCTTGGTGCTCTCTCGAGTGTCCAGTGGTGTAGACGGGTCATTCTATGTATCTACTCTCCAAGGCGCAATGTGAGTGCCCCAAATATCCCCTTCTGATTTTTCCTGAATATCCTATCTATTTACTCTCCAGGCACCTTAACTGAATGGGCGCCGGTTTCCATATTTTTGATTTTTCTGAAATTCTACTATTCTTGGATCCTTTGAATCAGAAAAATGTATACAGATGTCTAGAAGAGACTTTGTTACTTTGATTCGGATATTCAGGCATTTTCCGATGTTTTCTTAGAAGTTGGAGGCCAACATTTCAAAACAGGTGAGTTAATTTAGCTGATGAAGCATCTACAATATTATTTTTCAGTATTGGTCGTCAAGCTCCGGATGCCGACACAAAGTCGGACTCACGGAACCACCAGGCTGGGGCGAGTTCAATGTGTTGTGAATGGATTGGCTCCAGCTGCCGCAAAGGTTGTGGCTCCAGCCCATGGCTCCGTTGCTGGTCCTTCAGCTCAAGCCATCGCGCCAGTTCAAGCTCAGAAAGCTGCCAAGGTAAAATCTTTCTAAACGAGATTTAAAATGAAACATGTAATTATTTCAGAAAAGAGCGGGAGAAGGAGAAGAAGGAGCCTCAGCCAAGAAGATCCACTATCCCAACATACACTCGATTATCATTCCCTTTCATATGAAATTGCAGAAACCAATAAATATTTGATAAATTGGAATTCTGTGTGTTCTTTTTTTGTTTTGTTGGACCATCGAATTTTCAGGAACTAGACAGCGCTTCTCTGCACGTTTTTTCTAGCTCAAATGAACCTTCTAAGCCCTAACTTCTACAAAATTCGCATTTGAATCTTTTAAAACCCAAAAAAAGCATCCCAAAAAAGCAAAAATTGAGGTACAAGCGAACGGCGTGCCGACGAAGAATCCCACCTCGTGGGGGAGGGGTCTGTGCGAACACCGTCACGCCAAATTGCTCAATTTGAGGAGAAATAGTGTGGGGGGACAGGAGACCATGTTTTCCTGCTGTCCACTCTTGTTGTTTTCTCCTTTCCCGATAATGAACGGCATCTGGTTGTGAGGAGAGAGAGAGAGAGGGTTAGAGAAAGAGAGGGGAGGGGAAAGTAAGTCTGCGTCTCTTTGTCTTGGTGCTCTCTCGAGTGTCCAGTGATGCGGACTGGTCATTCTATGTATCTACTCTCCAAGGCGCAATGTGAGTGTCCCAAATATCCCCTTCTGATTTTTCCTGAATATCCTATCTATTTACTCTCCAGGCACCTTTACTGAATGGGAGCCGCTTTCTATATATTTGATTTTCCTGAAATTCTACTTCTTGGAAATTCTACTCCAATGGATATGGTGAAATTATTGATTTTTTGGATGTTAACCAGAATACTGGTACATAGTGCATGGATCTAGATGAAGGTTTTTAATTATATTCATCACATGGTGCATCGACACTAAGAGAGGTAGGTCACACGAGTTTTGATTTTCTACAAGACAGTGTTAAACTTGTCCAATTAACTTGAACATTTTCGAAAAGATTAAGTAAAAATAGAGCTTCATTTTTGTAGTTGCCGACTTTTTTGTAAAATTTGGTCCTGAAGAGATAGGCCACGTGGAAGAGCATAGCCGCGCCTAGCGGAGTCGATCGTAGACTGAGGATGCTAGTCAGACTGGTTATTAGTTGAATGTAATTTAGAACAATTTTCAGTATTGGCCAGTTTGGTGGGCAAAACCATTTTCACTTCTTTCGAGAAGTACCAAGAAGTACTTGGACAAGATACTTGGAGAAGATACCCCTCATCGAAAAATTTGGACACAATGGAAAGATTCGTTCCCCAATTTCAGTCAAAGTCAGAGAGAACGGATCCTCCGTCCACGTCAATAACCGCAGGTTTCAAGCCTCGCCTTGAGCGCAAAACACCTTCGGCCGATGCCAGATTTGGTGAGTTTTTAAATTTTTTAAAAGTTTAATGCGAGGTGTCAAGTCCCAGGTCTTAACTCTAAAAGAAGTTTTTTTTTTCTTAAATTCCAAGTTTCATCAGAAGCTGTCTTCAATCCACTTTATGAACGAGTACGTACAGTTTGAAATTGAAAATAATAGCACATTTTTAACATTACTGTTTTACAAACATTTTTTTATTTTCTAGATTGGTAGACACAACGGAAATCTTCCTCCACAAGAATAACAACATCATATCACCCTAATTCACCCCGACCTTTTCAACACATATTTTCGGACGGAGTGAATTAGAAATACAGGAAGTGGAGAAATTGGAGTTTTTTCATGCTACTCAAGAAAGACGTCGAAAGGCATACTGTTGAGAAGTTTCAATTCAAGACTGCTACCGGACAAACACACCGCTGTTACAACCATATTTCGATGAGACAAAAATTAACTGTCATAGGAATCTATAGAGCTTTAAGAAAAGCTAAAGCTCTTAGTGATGCGTCGTGGAAAACATTTGTGAATTTTAGAATGCAAAATAGCATTGAAAAATATACGATGTGTGGAGGCCATTTAACAGATGAATGTGACCGGGAGTCAATCCACTAATCTCTCGGAAACAACAACTACTTCTCAGCTGTCATTAGCCAGGCAATCGTTAAAGCGAAAAATCGATGCCAGAAAAATAGGCTCTGTTGCTAAATGATCTTCTCATAATACAAGCAATGATTTGTCGTCTACCCAAGATAGTACTCCAGGTCGTCCTAGCAATTCGGGAAAAAGACTTCGAGTCGAATCATCAAGCTCATCATCGCCATCAAATGCTTCTTCTCCTGAAAACGATGTTCAAGAGCCAGCCAATGAGGAGATAAATTATCAAACTCCATTTTTCCTAATCCAGTAATCTTTGAACAAGTTTGTCTTATCTGTGGGGCCAAGATTACCTCGTCTGTCAACTTGTATGAAAGATCAAATCACTGTCTTACTCACATCCACTCTTCCTGTACCACTAGAGCAGCTGGCCGTCGTTACAATTTGTCTTTGGATGGAATTGCAATCAGCAACGATCTACAGTCGATTTTGCGTGCCACAGAATTCAAGAGAAATGCCGCAATGTACCAAACGGAGCTCACCGAAATCACTCGTGCATTGGACGCTGCCCGGCAAAGACTGATGGTTGCAGAGCAAAGGACGAATCAACTGTCTGCTGAGAGCAGGGAATTGAAAGCTGAAAGAGATCACTTGGTGAATCAGATCAACGCGAGAGACGAATACGAATTCGACCAACCCATCGGACGGCCAGAACATTAATTATAATTCCATAATATTTCTTTCTTTTCTTTTAATTCTTCTAAATAAATGTATTAATATTTAAATTTTCTCTTTTTACCACCTGCCGATTTTTTCTGTCTGTCTCAATTTGGTTTCGGATACTGATAAGATCAGTTGTCGAGCATTCGATACGATCTTTGCTCCTTTGTTTTCTTTTGGATACATCCTATTTCATGATTCTCATAGTGCGCCACTTTTTCAATTTTACTTTGACGAATGAACGAAATCAAATTCTTTTCTCTCTCTCTCTCTCTCTCTCTCTCTCTCTCTTTTTATACTTTCTTAATCTTCGGTTTTAATCTTCGGTTTTAATGGAGGCGCGACAGCGCCTCCATCCAAAACTTTTAAATTCATTTCCATCATATCATTTCAACAGAAGGCTACAAAATTAGAAGGTTCTCAATGTCCCATTTTATTACTTGTTGCGAGACGAAGGAAGGGGCCGGATTTAGGATGTGGAGTGTTTTTTCAAAAAGGCGAGCGAAGCGAGCCTGAAAGAATTTCATAACTTTCATTTCGGCGTAAAATTGCGAGCGAAGCGAGAATTAAAGAATTTCATAACTTTCATTTCGGCAGAATTTTCGAGCGAAGCGATAATTTTTTAACTTTCATTACGCCGGCTGTTTAGGACTGACCATACCATTCTAAATCAGTACTTTCGGTTCGTCAATGGACGAACCGAAGATTAAGAAAGTATAAAAAGAGAGAGAAAGAGAGAGAGAGAGAGAGAAAGAAAAGAGTAGCTGGCGTGTCCCTATCGCTTTTCCCCTCCATTCCTATGCTCCACCCCCACATGCAAACATTTTTTGGCTATAATTCGATTTATGACCCAGCTATAAAAGAAGAGAGCCTTTCCCCCAAAAAATCATTCCATTTTGGAAATGTGGAAACAGTCTTCTATTCTCCTCCTTCTTCTAGTTGGAGCTTCTTGGGCGTTTGTTCCCGATGATCCAGAATTTGCATTCTACGGATCGGATGGTCCTGTGGAAGTTGCCAAGAGGTTCTTGGATCGTATCAAGAGAAGTGTTGAGTCGAGAGATGTTGCTGTGATCAGTGGACTCTTCAATCCAGGATTTGAGTTCAAGGGATGCAAAGGAGATTATGATAAGGGTGAGTAGTCCTGGGGTTTTAGGTTCTGGATTTGTTTTCATCTAGATTTTCACTGGTTTAGAATGAGATTGATTTCAGTGCATCTAGAAAAAAAACTCTAACAATAAAATTCTAACAAGGGAAGTGTTTTCAGAAAAGCGTTGAGAATTTTCTCAAACTTTTGTGATTGGTACTTTTAGACACGCTGATTACAGAACTGAAATCTGTTTTTCCACCCCGGACCTGTTAAAAAAGTTATGAGCTCTGAAAGTGATTTCAGTGCTAATTTCTCACTTTTGGAGTTAATTTTTGAAGGGATTAATAACAGCTTTTTTTTTCAAATGTTAATTGTTACGTCCTTAGGATTCGGCATTCTGGCCGGCTCAAGGAATACGAATAGTAGTTATAGAATACAGATTTATTCAGGTACTAAAGATGTACGAGAATAGAGGGGGAAAAGTAGAGAAGGCTGGGAGAGACTAGGACAGACCGAGAATGGTTGTCAGCCCCAAAGAAAGAGGGGTTCTGACCAATGAAACAACTAAGAAGAAGAGTGCCAGAGAAGGGCGCTCTTCTTAGGTGGGTAGATCACAAATAATTTGGTAGATCAAATATAAAACTAATGGAAGTATGCATAGAATGCAACATTAATCGTACTTTTATATGTTGTTCTATAATCTGAGAAAGTTCCCTCAATTTTCAAAAAAAATTTTTTTTTTTTGAAAAAATGTTGCTGTGTGGTATCTCCTTTGGAATTTTTTCAAATTTTCGCAAAATTTTAAAATGTGCTAAAATGAAGCCTGAAAGTAGAGAAACGATAAAATGAGTCTTTTCGCAAGATTTCGTAGCCCATATTCCTCTAGAAAAAAGCGATTCCTCTTCAAACTTCAATGGGTCGTAATTCTTTGATAAATCTCTAGAAGCACTCAAAACTTGTAAAAACATAGATTTACATAATCACTCATTTTTTTTTCCAACCGCAAAATGAACCTGTTTAGGGTATATTATTGACTAACACTACGCCTAGGGAAGACTTTCTAGTGTTGCTTCCAGAATTTTTTTCGAATTATGTCAAAAAGTATTATTTTTTCTAAAAATATTAAAATTGAAATGAAAAATTTTATCAAAAAAATAACTATTCAAAATTTTGAGACTTCCAGAGAGACCAGTAAAAAAAAAAAAAAATATTCAGGACAGGGGGATTGAACCTAACTCTAGTCACAGGTCCTGGGCGCGCATACGCATAATGGATGGGCGACGGAGGACGCGCCGATGAATTGGGTACAGGGAAAGGACGCCGGTATGGGCATATACGGGGCATATGGGGCACACCGCCGCCGCAAAGCATCTCCTCGCCTGGCTTGCTGGCACTCGATGAAATGAACTAAAACGTTGGTTGGGGGTTCCTAGAAGTATCAGTTAAGTTCTATTGTGATGTGATTTTGTTCAGGTCTTCCGATTTCGTACTTTTCATTTAATATTCCATATTCTTTTATATTTTGAACGACATATTACTGATTTTTCGAAACTCAATGTTTTGGTTTTGAAAAAGACTTATGGCAGTTTCCATTTAAATTTGATATGAAATCAAAAACAGAAGAAAATGGGAAAAAATTCGCTAAAAATTGTTTTATTTTCATTTCAAAAAATATGTCTCACTTTCACTTTTTTTGAAATTGCATGAAAAATTGAAAATTTTTATAATTTAAACTTTGTAATTATTGTATACTTACCAACTTACCTTTTACTCCACCTGAAAATACGATTTTTACAATAATTACAAAGTGAAATCAAAAAATCTCAATATCACCTATTTAGGCGAAAAACATAGCAATTAACGAGTGAAAGACATGTTTCTGCAAGAATTCAGCGATTTTTTATTCTGCCATAACTCTTTTTCACAAAAAACATCGAAGGAATAATCGAAAAACCAGAAATGTAGGCTCGAATTGACAAAAAATTGACAAAGTTGCCGGTGTGGATTTACGGTAAACAATGCGCGCATCAGGGATTTCGGAGTGTTGTAGTCGGCCTACCGTATCAGACCCATATCGCACACATCGCCCACCCACCTAGAATCCATCTAGGATACGCGCGCATTCGGAACACTCGGTTCAGCCTCTCCCGCATCGCACACATATGAGACTCATCGCAGCTCATTGTTCGCGATATGTGTCAAACGGACTTCTAGAGGATCGCATATGGATCGGGTCTTTATGCGCATCATCGGCCAGGGGAGGTGCATCAAAGCGAAGGAGGTCAAGACACGCTAAAAATTTCAGACGCAAATTTTCAGCTTATGGAGGCCGGGGTGGAAAAACAAAAAATGACACCATGTTTAGGACGCCATATAGCATACTTGTTCAAATTTTCAAGAAATTCTCAACGCTTTTTTGAAAACACTTCCCTTGTAAGGCTTCAATTAAAAGTTGAGGTTGATGTAGGAGCATCTCGAGACTATAAAGAACCTGAAAATTCTCTAGAATTTGAATTTTGTGATCCTAGGAAAAGATTTGATTGTATACAAGCAAGGTTGTACTTCCGGGATAGGTTAGATATGCCGTTTTAGTAGGATCTAGCTCGTTAAACGTATTTCTAAAAAAAGGACTGATTAGTCCACGGCCAACTACCCACGGCCCGCCGACCACGGTCGCGAAACATGCAACAGTAAAACACTCGTAAGTGTCTTTATAGTTAAGCAACAGCTTTGATTTTTACACCAATCGATTCCTCATTAAATTTTACATTGGAAAATTTATTTTAGTTTCAAAATGACTATCCAACAACAGCCTTGTATACAAGCCCCAAATCTTCCAGCAAAAGTGGTCGGAATCCTGAGCCATCTCCCAGTTGGTACCCCATTCTCCATGACCCTTCAATCCGCTGTCACCCTCGGAACCGATCACATCAGATACTCGGTATCTGTCTCTGGATTTGGACCATCTCCGATCATCGCTGAATTTATTCTGAACATCCATGACCAACAACTCCAATGTGGAAATGTTCCAGCTTGTCAGAGAAAGACATTTGTTGGAATTTTATCCGGATATCAAGGATTTGTTGGACAGGAATCGCCGATGGAAGTTGCCAAGAGGTTTTTGGATCGTATCAAGAGAAGTGTGGATTCGAGAGATGTTGCTGTGATCAGTGGACTTTTCAATCCGGGATTTGAGTTCAAAGGATGCAAAGGAAATTATAATAAAGGTAGGGAATTTTTTTAAAAACCATGAATTTGGAATGAGTGGAATCATTTCTTGAAAAAGTGATTAGTTTGACTGTATCCATAGTAATGTATTAATGCATTTACCAATAGAAAATCTAGCCAAGATATTAATAAATCTTGACAACTTCTAAACCACTGAATTTTCCAGCAAAAGTGGTCGGAATCTTGAGCCATCTCCCAGCTGGTACTCCATTCTCCATGACCCTTCATCAATCCGCTGTCACCCTCGGAACCGATCAAATCAAGTACTCGGTGTCTGTCTCTGGGTTCGGACCATCTCCAATCATCGCTGAATTCATTCTGAACATCCACGACCAACAACTTCATTCTGGAAGTATTCCAGCTTGTCAACACTTGATGGGATTCTTCCGAAACTTCATCGCAAGCACTCCAGAAGAACAAGTCAAGGCATTCCTGGATCGTTTTAAAGCTGCTATAACATCCAGAGACTCCGCAGCTCTTCTAGATCTTTTCCAACCTGATTGCGTATTCATCGGATGCAAAGCAACCTATGATCGAGAACAATCGGTTGCGATGATTATGCAAATCCCAGCGGAAGCTCATCTGGCATACACATTCAAATCAGTGCAAGACCTTGGAGATTCAATTAAGACAGTGGTGATTGCAGAGGGATTCAAAGCCACGATTCATGTCGAATTCGAGTTTGTCCTGAGTAAGAAGGATCAGAAAATCGAGAAGGCTAGTATGGCCTGCCCGAAAAGGCGTCGGCTCGTGGCGGATTGGATTGGCGAGAAGGGTTCCGTCGATTATGGGTTCTCTAGAGAGGTCAGAGCTCCACTGGGAGACGCTGATGAAATGGTTCACGACTTTTTGGAGAGAATGACGAAGGCTACGGTTGATAAGAATTACGATATCATTTCGAGCCTTTTTGAAGACGGATTTGTGTTTAAAGGATGTAGAGGAAAGTATACAAAAGGTAAATTTCAAAGAGTGATGGAGTACGGTAGTCAATTCAAAAGTTTTCCAGCACAAGTCACCAAAATACTTTTGAAACTCAAAAAGGGAACTCCGTTCACTATCAATTTGATGGAAGTCAACGACCAGGATACCAATGTCAAGTATACTGTACAAATCGTCGGAATGGGAGCAATGGACATGCAAGCGGAATTTGTTTTGAACAAGAAAACACAGAAATTGGTGTCTGGAGGAATCCCACTTTGTCAAGGTAAGGGGCCATATCTCGCTTGATTCGAACTTTACGAAAAAGTTGTCAATTAGAAAAATGAGAATCTAGTTTTGATTATTCTACTCTAAAATTTTCAGCAAAATCCAAAAAGTTTGAAACCCTCTTTCTTAGGTCCTGCCCACTTGAGCCGCCATTGAGCCGTTTCTAGGCCGCCCACTTTCAAATTATAAAAAAAGCTAACATATGACTGATTTGTCTGAAAATTCCAGAATATACAAAACAAAACTAGAGCTACATTTTTGTAGTAGACAACGTTTTTGTAAAATCAGGTCTTGAGGAGATATGCCACGTGGAAGTTGGAGCACATCCAGGGCTGCTGCCGCTCGTGTTGTCAGCGTGCGCGAACGGAGAGTCTCTTCAAGGTGTCATATCTCCTTAGGGCATAATTTTACAAAAAAGTTTTCAAATACAAAAATGAACCTCTATTCTTGAGCTTAATTTTTGTAGTCAACAAATATTTTATACAAACACGCTCCACGGAGATGTACGTGGAAGAGACTCACCTTCCTTGCTCGCTAGTCGGAAGATCGGCGGCTGTTACTATAGGTGGCATATCTCTTTGGGGCCTATTTTTACGAAAAGTTGTTAACTACAAAAATGTGGCTCTGTTCTTAAGCTTCATTTTTGTAGTTGACAACTTTTTTGTAAAGTTTGACCTAGAGGAGATATGCTACGTGGAAGAGAGTCTCCTCAAGAGCGCGCTTGTGCGACGCCTAAAGGTTCCACGAGCCGTATCTGTTCTTGAACAAATTTTACAAAAAAGTTGTTAACGAGTAAAATAATGCTCTAGTTTTGTTCAGTCTACTCTGAAATTTTCTGGAAAATCCAAAAAGTGAGAAACCGTCTTCTGAGGTCCCGCCAGTTGAATCGCCATTGAGCCTTTTCTAGGCCGTCCAATTTCTTTAAACTACAAAAAAGGCTAAAAGATGACTAATTTGTCTGAAAATTTGAGAATATCATAAACAAAACTGGAGCTTCATTTTTGTAGTTGAGAACTTTTTTGTACAATTTGATGAAACGTCGAATAGGTCTCCCTCAGAAAGCGCGCTTGGTGACGCTTACAGGTTCCACGTGCCGTATCCCTTCAGGACCAAATTTTACAAAAAAGTTGTCAACTAATTAAATGAAGCCCTAGTTTTATTTGATGTACTTGCAAATTTTCAGAACTATCCAAAATTTTGAAACCGCGTTTGTAAAGAACCAAAAGTTGACATATTTTTTCCAGACAGCCAATTAGATTCCAACTCGATCGTTGAGCAATTTTTGGCAATAATGCAACCAGCTGTAGATACAAGAGACGGCACAAAACTCGCCAGCCTTTTTGACGACGAATTCAAGTTTAACACTTGTAATGGATACGAAGATAAAGGTTAGATCTTGGAATTTTCACAGTTTAAGAATCCTAAAACCCCAAAATTTTCAGCCGCTGCTATCGCCAAAATAATGAGTGCTCCATCAATGTTCAAAATTTTGATCAACTTCGTCTCTTCGAGATTCCTGGCAAACGGACAAATCGAAACGGTTGTGGATATCATTTCGATTATGGGTAGACAGCGTACCATGTTTCTTCTGGATTTGACCAAAAATGTTCTGGTGGCTGGACGACTTTATAAATGTCCTTGAATCTCTGCTTTTGACTCAATAAATTGATTTAAGAATATTTTAAATGTGTTGAAACTTTTCGTGGATTCCCGAAGACAGAAAAAATTGGATACCGTAATCCAATGTTTCCCACTTGGCGGGATTAGGTTGGGTGTCGGTTGATCACCTAAATATCTTTTTTCAGCCTTCACTGATAAGCCAAAAAATTGTTCACAGACTTGAAAACTTATGAATATACTAAACAAAACTAGAGCTTCAATTTTGTAGCTGACCACTTTTTTGTACAATTTGATCTAAAAAAGATATGCCACGTGGAAGAGGGTCTTTTTTTCTCCTTTAGCGCGCGCTTGGTGGCGGCGGCGCCAAGAAGCACTTCCACGTGGCATATCTCCTCAGGACAAAATTTTACAGAAAAGTGGTCAACTAGTAAATTGAAGCTCTCGTTTTGTTTAGTCTACCTACAAAATTTCACCAAAATCTAAAAATTTTGAACCGCTTTCGTAAGGAATCAAAAAAAAAACAAAAAAAACAGTTTTTTTTTCAGACAGCCAATTAGATTCCAACTCTATTGCTGAACAATTTTTAACAAAAATGAGACCGGTTGTGGGTGCAGGAGATGTCACAAAGCTCGCCACTCTTTTTGACGATGAATTCAAGTTTTGGATGTGCAATGGTAAAACCGAAGGTAGAGGTGAGACCTTGAAATTCTAAAAGCTTTTGAGCTTCTGAAAATCTTGAAAACTTTCAGCCGCCGTTATCGAGGTAATTGGCAAAAGCCCGATCGCAGTCTCGCTCAATTTAGTCTCGTCGAGATTCCAGTCACGCGAACATATTTATTTGACTGTGGATATTAGCGCTGGATTTATCGGTACTTGGCGTACTGTATTTCTTCTGGATTTGACCAAAAATGTTCTTATTGGTGGAAAACTTCTCACATGTTGAACCTTGAATTTTTGTTGGCATTTTATTCAAAATAAATTGATTTGGGAACATTTTAAAGACTCAAAAAATTAAATACCGTAATCCAGAGTTTCCTGGCGTGATTCGACTACCCTAAGATTCGCTCTTTTTCCAGTCTTTACTGATGAACCTAGCAATTGTTCAACAAACTGGAAGTTTTGTGAATATACTCAACAGAACTAGAGCTTCATTTTTGTAGTTGACAACTTGTTTGTAAATTTTAAACCAAAATAGATATGCCACATGGAAGAGGAACTCAATTGGCGCGCGCTTGGAGCAGGCGCGGAGGCGAAGGTGGCGTTGTAGCACTACCACGTGGCATATCTCTTTCAGATCAAGTTTTACGAAAAAGGTGTCAACTAGTAAAATGAAGCCCAAGTTTCACTCAATTCACTTGCAAATTTTCAAGCAAATTCAGTAACTGTGAAGTTAATTTTCAGACACTCTATAAATGTACATGCTTCGTACTGAAATTTTAAAGATTTTTTCCAGCCTTTACTGATGCAAAAACCTGAAAAAATGTCCAACAGACTTGAAAACTTGTGAATATACTAAACAAAACTAGAGTTTCATTTTTGTAGTTGGCAACTTTTTTGTATAATTTGACCCAAAAGAGATACGCTATGTGGAATAGGATCTTCAAAAATATTGTTCCTGATTTTCAGGCAATCTTGCTCTCAATTGGAATTTGTACAGTAGGAAGTAAAAGATCCAAAATGTTTAAAGTTTTAAATTTGACTGAAAGAATTGATGCTCGAAAATATTTATTCCATTATTCAAATTTCGAAATTCCGCAGTAAATCAATTACACTTTGGCACATTTCCAGACTTCAAATCGTTTGTGAAGGGGCAATAAACGAATTGAGCCTGAATCTTGTCCATTCCTGGTCCAGCAATGGACACGATGTACTCGATTTGCCCATGGATTGCCCGTTTTGCAGACTCTAATGAGAACTCCATGGAGACGCCAGCTGGAAGAGCGGTGATCTTTTGGATGACATCTTCTGAAATTTTTATTGATTTTTAGATTCATAGGTACTCGGTACCTTTGGTATAAGACCATAGACATTCCTTGAACAAGAAATTGTCTTCGAACAGTTTTCCGATTCTTCCACAATCCTTGGAATCTGTTGTCAATTTTTCCCATTGTCTGGGAACAATGACAACCTGAAAGCGAGATAACCCAGAGTCTCCCGATTTTCCCCATAAATTCCCTCTGGATTATCCGCTTTATTCGGGTCATGTTCATTCCCCTTCTTATCTCTTTCCCCCTCTCTAATTACAAGTACACTCAAAAAATATTAATATTATTTGAATACGCGCCAACAACAGCGTTGCAGCGACCGCGCCGCGCACCAGTAGCACCAGTTTTAGAAGGCAGCAAGGTTTCCTCCGGTAGCTCCCAGGAGGTTTTAGCCCTACACCTTTACTTCTTTTCTGTTCTTGCTTTCTTTTCCCAATTCCGTTGTCTTTGCCGTTTATTCAAATCCCTTTCCGTTAATAAACTTGGATTTGAATACTTTGTGTACTGTTATTTCCTTTGCACCGCTTATCTTACACATTTAGGGGGAATTGGGGGTAATTTCAGGTTGCTGACACTCTCGGGTTAGGACGTAGGATCGGTCTCGACTGACTGAGGATCCGCTGTCAACAGAATCCACGACTCGGCTGTCCCAGAAACTTCTGGACCACATTTTTCGAATCTTCAGGAGCTTCCCCTTTTTGGAGACAAGGTTTTCCAACGATCTCTTCTCTTGACCATCATCTTCTTATACATCATTAGATACACCACTGAAAGGCAATGCATATCATGAAATTTGTCCGCCCCACCAGACATTATAATGGGTACACCAAACTAAAATAGAGCTTCAATTTTGTAGTTGCCAACTTTTTGCAACAAATTCAATTTGCTTTCGAGCAAAACACTTACTGAATCAGATTTTTGCAATTTATGAAATTTCAGGAACTTCTAAACTCCCGAATTATTGGTTGCAGTTTTTTCTAATGACTTGTTGCATTTTCGAACTTCTTGGAATCTTTCATTTTCAGTAATTTTTTTTTGCATTTTCGATTTTTGAAGTTTTCTGGGATTTTTTGAATTCTCGAATTTACATTTTCTGGATTTTTGAATTTTTCTGAATTTGTTGGAAAATTCTGTTTTTGATGATTATTCTTATCAATTTCACTTTTTTTCGAAACTTTTTGTTTACCCACTAAAAAGTGAGTCATTTTTTGTTGACATTTTCTCTATCATATTTTTCAATAGAGAAAAAGGTGTGCCAATTTTTCAAAATTGCTCTAAACCCCTTTTTCTAATTTTAGCGATTTAAAAAAAAATGCCAAAAGTCAGACAATTTTCGGTCCATGAACTCGAAAACAATGGGAAAATATTCATTTCCATCGTTTTTGATGAAATTGTGACCCATATTTCGTCTGATATTGATTCGAATTTAGTGAAAATTGAAAGGTTGGTTTAATTTTTTTGAAATTTAACAAAAAATTAAATCTGAGAAATCCGAAAATACTGAATTTTCAGAAATCCAGAAAATTCACAGTTTTGTAAAACCCACATTTTTGTTTTGAAATTCCAAAAATTTCTGAAATTAAAAAGAATTTTCAAAATCTCAAAAATTTTCAGAGAATTAAAAATTCCAAAAAAAATCAAAAGTAATCATAAAATTCTGAAATTTTAGAAAATTTCGAAAATACGGAAATTTTGGGTTTTTTAGAAATTCCAAAACATTTGAGAAATCTGAATTTCAAAGATTCGAAAACCTAAAAATTTTCAAAAAAGCAATTTCAGAAATTCGAAAATTCAAAATCCAATTTTCACATTTTTCGAAGGATCAGGATTTTTTTTTTCATTCCAAAATTCAGAAATTTTCAGTTCTAGTAAAAAATGCAAAAAGTTTCAATTTACAAAAAAATTTCAGGAAATTTAGAATTTTGTTTTTTTAGAAGTTCAAAAACCTCAATTCCCAAAATAACTGAACTTTTCAGATCTGGAAAATCTGAAAAAACTGAAACTGGAGATATCCACCAAATCGCTTCGGATATATGCAACGAATTTATCGAAAACGGACTATTGGAATCTGAAAACTTCCAAATCGATAAAACGAAAATCCCAGTTCCTTCAAATCTTCAAAAAATCCGTTGTAGCCGATTTTCATCGGCTTTTCTTGGAGATCAAAAAGTAATAAAATGGTTGGAAAAGCTGGATGGAGACGTGGAAATTCTGAAATTGACTGAAAATGGAGTAATCAAGGGATTGGGAACAATGGAGCAGTTGAAGAATGTGACAAAGGAGCTAATTGCAGTTGGATGTGATATTTCAGATGAGGAATTGGAGAATTTAAGAGATGATTACTGTAGACTAGTACTGCATTCTGAGAAATTGACAGAGAAAGGAGTCAAAAGGGCTTTGGAGGTGGGGGGTTTTATTGTTTGAATTCCAGATGTTCAGTTTTTCAAATTTTTCAAATTTCTGAGTTTTTTTTGGGATTTTCAAATTTCCTAAAAAATTGAATTTAAAAACATTTTTGAACTTCGAAAATTTCAGAACTATCTGGAACAACCACAAAAAGCTGGAAACGTCTTCGACGTTCGATTTAAGGCTTCTTCGACGGATTTTGATAAAAATGATTTGTTCAAAGGTTTGATGAAAGCAGAAATCACATGGGAACAATATTTTTCGTGAGTCTGAAATTTTGGAATTTTCAAACTCTGAAAAATTGAAAAAATAATTTTGAGCTGAAAATGATCAATAACGTTGTCTGAAACTATCTTGAAATATTTTTAACAAAAATCAATTTTTTTTTAATTTGAAAAATGAAAAAATATATACTACAGATCAAAAATTGTTTAAAATGGATCAGAAATAGACCAAAAAACCACTAAAAAACTTTTTTTTCAGCTTCAAAATCAGTTATTCGTTGAATTGTGGAAAAATTTTAGAATATGACGGATTCTATTTTGATTTAGAAAACGGACTTCATTCAGTGAAAATTATGATCCCAATGGATTGGAAACCAAGATTGAGAGATGGAAATACTGTTTAATTATTATTTAAAAATATTTTTTTTTCGAAAAATGAATAAAATTTTTCAATTCTGAAAATCCTTGAAATTCGTTAGAAAAATCCATAATTCAGAATAGCAGAATTTGAAAAAAAAAGAAATTTCTGAATATCTGGAATTTTAAAAAAAAACAAAAATTTCAAAATTTTTGAAAATTAAAAAAAATTTCGATGTTTCCAGAAAATCAAACATTCAGAAGTTTCAAGGAACTCCAGAAAGTTCTAAAAAATTCAAATTTTTCGAAAAAGAAATCTGAAATTTTTAAATTCCGAAAAGTCTCAAAAAGTTTGGATATGCTGAAAAATCTGGAATTTTAAAAATTCTAGTGAAAAAATTGTAACTTTTCTGAACTTCTTTTCTGAAAAACCAGAAATAACTGAATATTTGAATTTTAGGAAAATTCAAGAGAATAAATCAAGAATGAAGTATTTTCCTAAAACTTCAAAAATCAAAATTTTAAAAAATGATAAAAAATAATTTATAAAAATTCAAAAACAAATTCAAAACGGATACAAACGACATGGCTGCGGCTTCTCTTCTCCCTCATACACAAAACATATTATTTGAAAAAATCCCCAATTTAATTGAATTTCGATTTTTCGAGGGTCCAGAATCCCATGAACATTTTCGAAACCGCCAAGAATTTTTGCTCTGAAAAAATGTTTTTTAAACTAAAATTTTTTAAACTTCACAATGCTTTAATTTGGTTTTTTTTTGGAATCAAAAAGGTTTTAAATCAAAAACTTACACAAATGATATCTCATCGGGTTTTTTCAACATTTTGATTTCTAAATATCTTGGAATTGATAGACCCGCCAATTGAAATTCTCTCGGCGGCTCAATACTCAATTCCAGTCGGTCCGATTTTTTGCCGTATTTCAGGAATTTCTGAAAATTTCAAAAATTGAAATTTTGAGCTTTTAGAATCTCAAAAACTCACCTCCAACTTCCTCATCGCTCCATCTACCGTAACCGCTGAAGCAGTAATTTTCAAATTCATCGCTTTCAAATTTTCCAATTGCTCATCGTTACAATTCGTATTCAACTCTGATAAAAGTGATTCGGAAACATTGATTCCAGCAATTTCCGGCCACAATTGCTCATCTTGACCCCAGCATCGGACATCCAGTTTTTTGAGACTTCCAGAAACTTCTGTCGTTTTTTTGAGCCATTCCACGGCAAACGGATTCGAAATACTGTGCAATTTCAGATTGGAACATTTGAATTTGCTGGATTCTGGAGGAGCGAAATTGATCTGTAAAGATAATCAGTTTTTATTGAAAACGGAGCAAGTTACAAGCGATTCTGTGAAAATTCTCAAAAGAGCGCACTTGCCAAAGTAGGTTTTAACATGGTTTCCTCCTAATTCCTATGAGACCTCAATTTTTAGCATCGGTTCATCAAAACGATTAAAATGAGAACGAGAAAATAAAATTTAGATGTTTTCAGAAAGTGCGCTCCAATGAGAATTTTTCACAAAATCGCTTGTAACTTGGTTAGTTTTTTATTGATTTTCATAAGACTTGAACTATCCGAATCAGCTCGTCAAAACCTTTCAAATGAATATAAACATGCACAAATAATTTTCGCAAATTCGCTCCATTGAGAATTTTCATAGAATCCATTCTAATCGGATGGCAAAGTGTCAGAGTTCCCAGATTTTCAAAAAAAAATTGACTTACTTCATCAATCTCCACAGTATCCGCTTCAATGACACCATTTCTTGAAAATCTGGGCAATAATTTTTGTAAAATTTCAAATCGATTTTCATGTTTAATTTCGCTCAATTCCTCAATTGGTTCTCCTTTCCATCCTCGATCGATTTTCGTTAAATCCTCTTTTCCAGTCAACCAAATTGTAAATGAATCGATTTCCACACGAATTGTGGTCTGTAATTTCAATTTTTAGACAATTCTCAATAGAGCGAACTTGCGAAAAAATTCAGAAACTAAGCTTGATGGTATTCATTTGAAAGGTCTTGATAAGCTGATTTCGAAAATGTTTTTCTCATAAAAATTAGATGAAAACTAACCAAGTTACAAGCGATTTTCTGAAAATTCTCGATAGAGCGGATTTGCCAAAATTTTCAGAATCCGAGCTTGTTTATATTCATTTAAAAGGTCTTGACGAGCTGATGTTAAAAGTTAAGGTCTTATGGGGGTTAGAAAAAATCTAGTCTTGTTAAGACGTATTTTGGCAAATGCGCTCTACTGACAATTTCCACAAAAACGGCTATAACTCGGCTTGTTGTGCTTTGTTTTTGATGAAAATTAGATTTTGGGAATTTTTGGGAAAGCATATCCAGCTAATCTGAAGGAGCTTAGAAATACATTTTTTGGCAAGTTCTGGCAAATTCGCTCTATTGCGAATTTCTACAAAGCCTATGAAATTTGGAAACTCACTTTTTCTTGAACCCATTTACTCAGTTTTTCGGAAATTCTAAATTTTTCGAATCGTAATTTCGTCGAATCCACTACATCTCGGTCGTCTTTGGAGCATTGTCGGATGTTGCATCTGGGTAAAAAATTTTGAAAATGTTTTTTTTTTTAATTTCCAAGTAATTTCCCTTACCTCGACTCATAATCCAATAATTGAACGATTTTCTGATGGTTAGGGACTGTCAACATTTGCCAGGACATTTCTGAAACATTTTTGTGTTTTTGAAAAAAAATAATTTCAAACATATGGCGGAATGAGATATGGATTATCATCAAGGACGAATTTGGAGAAAGATGAGAGACGCAGAGAAAAAAGAGATAATATATGGCTCAAGTGTTATGTATGATTGCGAAATCGAAAAAAAATCCCTAAATCGTTAAGAAAAAAAGACGAAAAAGGAAAAAACCACAAGAGGGATCGAACCAACGCCTTGCGCTCAATGGTGCCCACCACATCCCCTACACCACGTTGCCAGCATTTTCCAATGGTGTGAAAGGCGTTTAAGTCAGTGGCGCTCTAGCCGCTTTTTTGAGTCGGGGGTTCTGTGACAAAATTAGTGGTAGAAAAAAAATAGTCAAAAGAGTAGTCAGCATTTCGAAATCAAAAATCTTGAATAGAAAAAGGAAAGATTTTATGAAATTATCCGAACTTACACTTAGCCTAAATGGCAACCACCTAACGTTACGTAGGAGATCGCATCGAGACCAGTGTGCGGTGGGGCGCGCTTGCTGGTTTTCAAGTTTTCTTTTTAGCGGGAATTTCAAAAACAGAAAAAAGGAGAAACTGTGGGAAGAAAAAAATTAGGAGTGCAAATTCGGAAAACTGTCTAACTCAAAAAAAATGCAAGAAATTCAAGTGATCTAACAAGGGAAGTGTTTTCAGAGGGGCGTTGAGAATTTGCTAAAAATTTCAGTACTGATAGTTTGAATTATCCGCAACACGATGACAAAAAAATCTAGGTCATAGTATCATCAACAAGCTGAAAATCTTCGTCTGAAATTTTTCGGTCGATTTCGCCCTCTCCTTCTCTTCACTACGCCCCTCTCCTATACGCCCTCCGCGCCAGGGAAAAACATCGGTTGTGTGGTGTTGTGGTAAGAGGGAGACTCATTAGGAGAGACTATGGTGGTTCGAACCCCACTGTGGTGAATCTTTTTTTTGTTTTTTTCGAGACAAATTTTCGATATTCATTTTGGTCCCCTGAATAACAAATTATACTTATTTCATGAATTCCCGACGTTTTCAAAGTGAAAAAGAAGGCGTTTGAAATTTTGAAGAAATTTTGAAATATTGTTTTTTTCGACTTGTCCTATTATCGCCCAAAAGCAAAACTTTCGACTCTCGGAATTGCTCCGTCTTGCTCTTTTTTGAGTGGAACACCACTACATCAATCACCCAAATGATCTTCATATATTTCTGTGTATTCCGTGTGATTTCGAGCAATATTTGAGAAATTACAGTTTTTCAAATTTCTTGCAATTAACAGATTTAGGGAATTATCAGGGCTCACATACAAAATCGAGCTGTCAAATATTGTGAAAATGATGTTTCTATCATTTCTGAATGTTTGAAAGACTTTTTTGCACTTTCAAAAAAATTTCTCGAAAAATCACATTTAAAGTGTGGGGTACCCCATGATGATTTTTTTCAAAAAAAAATCGAAAAAAAATTTTTTTTAATTGTTCAAAAACTATTTCAGATGATAGAGAAATGATCAAAAAAGAGTGTCCCGCTTGAAAAAGTCCTGGAAAACGAGTTTTAAAGCTCGAAAAATGCACGTTTTTGGTCAAAATTTAGTACTGAAAACACTTTGAGAGCCCATATTTTGGTTCCTATTAGGGTTATGACCGAGATATTGCTGAAATCGTATTCAGCGTGTTCGAAAGTACCTTTGTACAAATTTTGAGCAAATTCTCAACGCCCCTCTGAAAACACTTCCCTTGTAAGATTGGAAATCTATAAATTAGTCCACAAATTTCTTAACATCAACTGAAAATTTCAGAGTATGCACAACAAAACTAGAGCTTCATTTTATTAATTGACAACTTCTTCGTAAACGTTGGTCTAAGAAAGATGTGCCACGTGGAAGTGTGGGTATCTCTCTGCGCCGCCGCCGCTCCTGCTGCACCAAAGAACACACATTCTTAACGTGGCGCATCTCGCTAGGATCCAATTTTACGAACATCTTGTCAACTATCAGAATAAAGCTATAATTTGCAGCTTCATTTTGTTAGTGAACAACTTTTTAGTTAAAACTGGTTCAAGAAAGATATGCCATGTAGAAGTGCGGCGACACCGCCGCTCTAGCGAAGCGCGCCAACTAAAACCTACTTCCACGTGGCATATCATCCCAGTACCTGGTTTGTCGAAAACGTTGTCAACTGCAAAAATAAAGCTCTATTTTCGAGCTCCATTTTGTTAGTTAGCAACTTTTTAGTGAAAAATGGTTCAAGACATACATGCTTCGTGGAAGCGAGGGTACCCTAGGCGCCGTAGCCGCTTGTATCATGGCGCGCCTTCCACGTTTCATATCTTTCCAAGACCTAATTTTTCACCAAAGTTGTCAACTTTAAAAATGAAGATCTATTCCTGTTTAGTAATCTCTCTAAAAATTTCAAAAATTTTGAAAAAAGTTTAAAATGGTTTCGTAGGCGTCTTAATAATGATATGCTAAAAAATGCATATTGCAAGGATGTTTTTTATTGTGTCTCTCTTATCCGGTATTGATTTCTCCCAAATTTTTTTCTAGGTCATCGTACAGAAAATGAAATTCGCCTTTCAGGAAAAAAAAAACAATTCACATAGCCTATCCATCTCCCACCTGTCACCCTGTATTTATCTCCAGCTAATTAGCACCTTCTCAAGTGGACAGGACACCAGAATCCCCAAAATCCATATGTCAATCCCACAAAAGAAGAATAAGGCCGAAGAAAGCGAAGAAGAAAAGGGACCGAAGGGACATAAAATACAATTACACGGGGAGAGAGAGAGAGAGAGAGAGAGAGAGAGAGAGAGAGGGACAGCAGCTGTCAGTGACAATAGATTCTGAATACCCTTACTACTCTTCTACAACCCCCCAGAGAGTGTGCCAGGAGGAGAGACGCAGAGAAAGAGGTCCCCCTTCCTCTGCGTCTCTCTCACTCTCTCTCCCTCTTTGGGTGGCCTTCGTTGTATACATTCTGCACACATACACATAACCCATCGTCCAGTTTTGCTGTTCTTTTTCGATTTTCTTTGCTTTTTTGGGATTATAAAAAATTCGAAATCTGAAATTCAGAATCGTTCTCAGAATTTCAAATTTCCCGCTCAAATACACCTCTGCTTTCAATGTTCTTTGTTTTTTCAGAAACATTAAAAATTCAAATTTGGCGCCAAGCAAAACATGAAAGCCTGGATATTGCTACTCGTCCTGACGAGATGCTCCTGGGGATTGATCAGTGCTGGTGAGTAACCTTTGTTAAAATTCAATTTTCAAAAATAATTCATCAGAGCGCGTTTGCCAGAAATTACTATTAAATATTTACTTTTCGCATAAGCCGAGGGGTTAAGTACAAATGATATGTGTGTCTAACTATATTTGCCGACATCACACGAACGGCGATATATGTTTATGTACCTTTAAAGTTGTGGGAATGAAGATGAAAATTGAAAAGTCAAAACTTTAGTATAACGTTTCTAGAAGGTTCTGAAAAATTCTAAGATTGAAAATTTTGAATTTAGCTTGTGGAGACGGTCAGAACAAGTATAAACAAGCCCTGGTTTTGACAGTTGTGAGTTTTCATGAGAAAGTGCGCTCCAACTCAAATCAGGTCATAACTCATTTAGTTGAGCAACTAGAGCTATGAAAAATATACCATTCAATCTGCCATAAAATTTCCCTTTTAATGAATGTAAATATGGCTAAATTTGATAAAGTTTGATTTTTGATGTAAATGCGCTCTAACACAAATCAGCTCTTAACTAGTTTACTTGAAGAGTTAGGGCTATAAAAATTACACCATTCAATTTAGTATGAAAAACCCTTTTTAATGAGTATAAACATGGCTAAATTTGAAAAAAGTTGGATTTTTGATGTAAATGCGCTCTAACACAAATCAAGTCGTAACTTTTCTAGTTTTGACGCTAGAGGAATAAAAGTCAAAGTAATCGGTCGCAAATTAAAAGAACTTCAAAATGGCTACACACTGCTAGCTTCGAGTTTTATCATTAGAGCGCAATTACACCCCTCCTTAAAACCATAGCTTGTTTATACTCATTTTTAAGCTATTAACGGGCCAATTTAATAAATTGAGGTTTCAAAAACTTTTTTTTTTCCAGACAACACATTCTCGGATCGAACAATCGGCGAATTCCGCGAGCTACTCATCAACACTAAAGACGGCGCACTTTTTGCCGGCTCCGAAGGCGCCATCTTCCGTCTATGGGCTTATAATATCAACGATACGGGAGAGAATGTGTTCTCGAAGAAACAATTGATTCTAAGCGAGACGGAAGAATCAGAGTGTTGTTCGACGGCAAGTGATGAGAAATTATGCAGGCCCTCCACAAGATTTTTGGCGTTTACCAATAATAAGGACTCGATTTATGTGTGCTCTTCGGTTGGAATGCGACCAGAGATTCGAGTTTTGGATTCGATTTCGTTGCAAGACCAACAAGAGCCAAGAACGGAAATCGGGATTTGTGTAGTTGATCCGACATTCAATTCCACTGCTGTGGTTGTGGACAACGGGAATCCAGAAGGTTTGTAATTATTTGAATTTACGCGTTGAGAGCTTCAAAACGAGCCTAATCACGCCTGTATTTGGTGAACTTTAAGTTTAGGATGAAAATGCGCTCTAAGGCAAAAACTGTCATAACTCGCTTCATTTTTCTCCAAACTGATTGAAACATAGTTAAATCGACCCAGCGTGTTAAGCGCTTCAAAACGAACCTAATCATACATGTATTGAGCAACTTCTGAGTTTGGAAGGAAAACGCGCTCTAATGCAAAAGTTGCTATAACTCGCTTCATTTTGGTTCAAACTGATTGAAACATAGCTAATACGACACAGCGTGATTAAAGCTTCAAAATGAGCCTAATGATGACTATATTTGGTAAACTTTGAGTTTAAACTGCAAATTCGCTCTATTGCAAAACTGCCGTATCTTGCCTTTTTCTGGACCAAAACGTATGAAACTTTGATGAATTGTTTTGTCTTGATTAGAGCTTTTAGAAAAGCTTAATCATGACTAGGTTTGGAAAATTTTGAGTTTTGGTGAAAATGAGCTCTAATGGAAAAAATGTCATAACTCGCTTCATTTTGGTCCAAACTGATTGAAACAGCGCAATCGACACATCGTGATTAGAGCTTTGAAATAATGAGCCTAATCACTATTATACCTGGTGAGCTTTGAAATTGGGATGAAAATGCGCTCTAATTCAAAAACACCTATAACTTTCTTAGAATCTGTCCAAACCGCATGCATATAAACTCATTTTAAAGCTCACAACAAGCCGAATCCCACCATCAAACCAAAAAACCGCAACTTTAAATTTCAGACGCGTCATCCGTCTACTCGGGAATCCGAACTGGAATGGGAGGGGAGAATCATTTGATCTACCGCCCGCCACTAACCAAAAACGGAAAACAACTGCATGCATCGATTCGTACGATCTACTCGGATAACAAATGGCTCAATGAGCCCCAGTTCGTTGGCTCATTTGACGTTGGACAACATGTGCTATTCTTCTTCCGAGAGATTGCTCATGATAATTCGTTTGGCGAACGAATCATACATTCTCGAGTGGCACGCGTTTGTAAGAAGGATATTGGAGGAAGAAATGTGTTGAGACAAGTTTGGACAAGTTTTGTGAAGGCTAGACTCAATTGCTCAGTCTCTGCAAATTTCCCGTTTTATTTCGATCATATTCGTGAGTTTTTATCACAAAATTTAAGTTTAAAAAGTTTGGAAACACAATTTTTGAGTTTGACTCATCGAGAGCTTTAAAATAAGTATAATCAAGCCTAAATTTGGTAAACTTTGAGTTTGGAAACGCGCTCCACCGCAAAATTTGGAAAATCTATCTAAAATCGTATTCATTTCGAAGCTCTCAATGTGCTTAACACAGATTTCTAAATTTCATCAAATTTGGACAAATACTGAATGAGTTATGATCGTTTTTGCATTAGAGCGAGTTTACTTGAATTTTCTAATCATAGTCATGATTATACTCATTTTGAAGCCCTAATCACAAGGTATCGATTGCGATATGTTTCAATCTGTTTGGACTAGAATGAAGCAAGTTATGGAAGTTTTTGCAATAGAGCGCATTTTCATGCCAAACTAAAATTTCACCAAACATAGGCATGATTATACTCATTTTGAAGCTCTCAACAAGCAAAACTCCAATATTCCAAAATTTTCAGAATCCGTTAAACGAGTCGACAAGCACGGTGAAACCTTCTTCTACGCGACATTCAGTACATCAGAGACCGCATTCACATCGTCAGCTATTTGCATGTTCCAGTTGTCTTCAATTAATCACGTAAGTCTTGGCGGGAATTCGAAAAATGTCAAAAAACGAATTTTTTAGCTCCTTGACACCGGTCTATTGATGGAGGAAACCGCGAATGGACAGTTTGCAGTGACAGCCGATGAGATTCCAGCGCATCGTCCAGGAACGGTAAGCAAGCGCGCTCTATTGAGAATTTTTCAAAAATCAGTTTTTCAGTGTTCCTCAAACTCGCACTCCATCTCTGACACTGACCTCCACTTCGCCAAAACTCATCTCCTGGTATCCGATTCAATCTCAGGGGGTACTCCGATTCTTCCACTTCGGGACCACGTCTACACACAAATTCTTGTCGATCAACTGAATAATCAAAATGTGATATTTGCATTCGATTCGTCTCAACAGAAAATGTGGAAAATTTCGCATTGGAAAGAGGGAAACGAGTGGAAATGGAATTTAATAGAGACGCAGACTCTGAAGACGTCAGGATTCAGAATCAACGATGTTGCATTGCTGCCTGGAGAGTTCTTCTTCGCCACGTCGAAAGCAGGTGTACATCAGTTTTCGGTGAGATTTTTTATAGCTTCAAAATGAATATAAACACGACTAGTCCAATATAAAAACGCTCCTAACTTTCTTAAAACATTCTGAAAACTGATTAGAATTGTATTTTTGAATTCAGCAAGTTATTAGCTTCAAAATGAGTATAAACAAGGCTAGATTGAAAATAGTAGTGCAAATGCGCTCCAATGCAAATTCGTCTGTAACTTTCTCGAAACTTGCTCAAAATTTATGAAGCTTTCATCATTGAGCTTGACTCGTCAAAAACTTCAAAATGAGTATTAACAAGGCTTGGTTTTGGAAATACAGTGCAAACTCGCTCCAATGCAAATTCGTCTGTAACTTTCTCGAAACACACTCGAAACTTATGAAAATGCTATTTTCGAACTCGGAAAGTTTCCAGCTTCAAAATGAGTAAGAAGGCTAGGTTTCGAAAACGAGGGCAAATGCGCTCCAATGCAAAATCACCCGTAACTTCCTCCAAACTTGACAAAATCTCACGAAATAACCAATTTTTTGAACTCAGCAAACTACCTGCTTCAAAATGAGTATAAACAAGGCCATATTTGAAAAAATAGTGCAAACGCGCTCTAATGCAAAATCACATGTAAAACTTTCTCAAAATATACGATTTTACATTTTTCCAACTCAGCAAGTTTCCAGCTTTCAAATAAGTGTAAACAAGGCTATATTTCAAAAAGCACTGCAAGTGCGCTCCAATGCAAAACCGCTCGTAACTCGTTCAAACCTGGTTATTTCCACGGCATGAGTATACTCATTTTGAAGCTCTTGACAAGCCAAATTCAAGTTTCATGTTTTCAATCCATTTCCAGGTCGCCCGCTGCCAGGAACTTCCATCTTGTGCTCTTTGTTCAATGGACCCATACTGTAGCTGGAATGCTGTCAACTCGAAATGCGCTCTAAAAACGAAAACGAATGAGAAATCAGTCGGATGGATTTCAAGCTCATGGGCCGGCAGAATTAGTCCCGAGTGTAGTGCAGTAGAGAAATTACAGGTGGGCGAAAAACCCTTGAAAATTGAAATTCTTTTTTTTCCAGGTCAAAGACGTCTATCTCGGCGACGGTTTCAAAATTCAAGGCGCGCGAGGTGGAACGTGGCAAAAAGATGGGCGGGACTTAGAAGAGAGCCAACGCCACGTGGCAACGAGCCAAGGAGAATTGGTGATTCTGAATGTTGACGTCGAAGATGCGGGAACCTATGAGTGCACGAGAAACGGGGTTATTCTCATGAGAGCTCGGGTCGTTGTACATGGTAAGAATTCGCTTTTGTTATTGGCAAGTACGCTCCATTGAGCACTGATAAAAAATGATGCAAAAACACTCATAACTCTCTTCTAGCTTGCTCGAAATCAACAAAATTCTTATTTTCGAACTCAGCAAATTACCAGCTTCAAAATGAGTATAAACAAGGTTTCAGAAAATAGTGCAAATGCGCTCCAATGCAAAACACTTATGACTCTCTTGTAGCTAACTCAAAATTGATGAAACTGCTAATTTCGAACTCAACAAGTTATCAGCATCAAAATGAGTATAAACAAGGCTAGATTTGAAGTACAAATCAAATGCGCTCCAATGCAAAAACACCTGTAACTTTCTTCAAACTTGCTCAAAATTGATAAAATTTGTATTTTTGAGCTCAGCAAGTTACGAGCTTCAAAATGAGTATAAGCAAGGCTAGGTTTTAGAAAATAGTGCAAATTCGCTCCAATGCAGAAACGTCTGTTTTCAATGGAGCGAACGTGCACTGTTCTAGACCAAAATTTTTCAATAAAACAACTCATTTTTATCAAAAATTTTCCGTTTTTCCAGAAAATTGCGCTCGCCCAACCAGCGTCGCCGAGTACCGCTCATGCCAACGGGAATGGTGCAAAAAGGCCGACGCCTACAAGGCGGCACTCAATATTTGGAGTGATTCCAACAAGAAAAATGTGCAATGCAAGGCAAACGGTCCCAGTATCAATGGTCTTTGAGAACTTGGGATTTTTTGAAAAAATAAATTCAAATTTCCCCCTAATTTATTTTCCCCCTTTAAGCCAAAAACTTGTAACTCTTTCTTCTGTGTCTTAGCCGATCTCGAATTCACTTGTTTTTCGTGCATTTTCTCATAATTTATGTGTAAATAAATTGGATTCTCTAGTAATTTATTTTTGATTAAAATTCTCGGCAGGGGGGGGGGGGTACAAAATATAAAAATGGGCGGAGTCAAAAAAAAATTATATAATGCTTCTATCGCTCAAAATAGTAGACCATGTCGTCCTGGTTGTTGAGTGGTGTCGCCGGGCGGAATTGTCGAATTTCCGGATGCTGATTAGCTCCGCCCACATTAGGCTCCGCCTCCTCCATCGCCGCGTTGCCACGTGGCTCCATGTCTCGATTCCATTCTTGAATATGGCCGAGTAGCTTCTCAATGTGTGCCGATTTTTTCGAAATTTCCTCCGAAAACTTTTCATAGAGCACTTTCTGCTGAAAACTCGTTTGGGCGGCACGGAACAGGTTCATATTGGCTTCGTGATTCCCGCCAAATTCCAGCCATTTCGCCATCGTTTGCTCGAGTTGCTCACGGAATCGCAACTGAAAAAATGGGAAAATTGGGGCTTAGAATGTCTGAAAATGCCTAAAATGGCTAATTTTGCCGTTCAAATAGTCGTTTTTTAAATTTTTTTCTCAAAAAACAAAGCTCCGCCTTATTTTTGCAACCTTGCGGCGCGCTTTTCTATTTTCTCCTATTTTTGAAATTTTGAAATTTTTCTTATACAAAAAGTGTTTTTTTTTCAGAATTTTTTCAGAAAAATTGCACAAAAAAACTAAAAAATACGATAAATTTATTTTTGTAATCTTTAAGCTGAAAATAGCAAACACAACTTCTCAAATCTTAATTTAAAATGTCTGAAAATGCCATTTCCGCCGCTAAAATCGCCCCTTTTCAAGCGCATTTCCTCTAGAAACAAAGCTCCGCCCCTTTTGCAACCTTGCGGCGCGTTTTTTTCAAATTTTTTTGTCAAATTTCACGATTTTCAGCAAAAATCGATACCTGAACTTGAGCCAATTTCTCTTGTTCTGCGACAATGCGTCGCGCATTCTCCTCTCGCTGCATTTCAATTCTCAACGGTTGCATTCGAATGAATCCGTGTCCATTGTTCATGTGATCATTCAGAATGCACGTCGAGCAAATTGCAAATTGATGAAGGCTGACTTCTCGGGACAGCAATTCGCTGGCCGTCGTTGTTGCGTCGATGGGGGTGCATTTTGTGCAAATGTTTATGCTGAAAATTGGGGGGAAATTCCTTAATGTGTATTGATTTTAGTCTGAAATTTTGATTTTTTCATCTCAAACCCTGAAAAATCACTTAAAAATACGGAAAATCTTCGAAATTTATGAAATTTACGGTTTCCCGCTTTCAGTACGACACTCCGCTATAACGCTAGGTGCGTCCTGTTTACCGTAAATCTACATCGCCGATAATTGAAAAATCGTTTTTTCAGCATAAAACACCCGATTTCTTGCGATTTAACACCAAAAAACCGAATTCTCAGATCAAAATCATAAAAATCGCAAAACACTGATCAAATATACAATTTTTCTAACAAAAATAAATCTCCAGACTCCGCCCCTTTTCTTTCAGAAAAACTCACTCCTTCTCATGATAAACCATCTCGCACTGTGTACAACTGCGAATGCAACACTGTGTGACGCGTCTATCCCATACGCCTCAACGACGTCTATCAATTGATAATTGGTTCGGATGCAGCAGCGGCTCGTTTGGGTTATTGTCTGAAATTGGGAAAAATCAATTTTTCGAAAAAAAGTTTTAAAGGTGGTGTGCGGTGAAAAATTTTATTGCTTTATTTTGTGCAAAAATACAAGTATTGTCGGAATAAAAAAGTGAGACTCGGTGTNTGNGTACTTTGATTCACGCCTCCCCCCCACCGACGCTCCGCCCATCGCTTTGCAAGTGCGGCGTGGTGTTTTGGCGCGCCACTTGGAGATCATTTTTTTCTATGAAAATCTCATTAAATCCGATGATGGGCGGAGCGTCGGTGAGGGGAGGCGGGAATCAAAGTACGCAAACACCGAGTGTCACTTTTTTTATTCTGACAATAGATCCCCATAAAAATAAAGAAAAAATTCAAAAAAAAATTCCTTTATTGAGAAAAAACGGCATCGAAAAGTCAAAGTGGGAACCGGTGGCCTTTCGGCCCCGTGT